CTCAGGCTCAGCTGAGAGCGGAGGACAGGGCAGGCAGGACAGGGCGGGGAAGGTTCTAGAACAGAGGTAGAGCGGGGTGTGAGCTAGCTGACCCATGGCTCTGGTAACTTCATCAGAGAGGAGCCCTTTGTGTGGGCAACCGCTCGTTGGCAGGATTTCATATTATTTTTACTTTCATTGTATTATTTTGACAGCCACCTTCTATTTATGGCAACTGGTTATCTACTTAGGAGAGTGCCGTGAAGTTTCTCTTTCAAATAATTTCAAATCACAAAAGGATGGCTGAGTGTTAGAGTAAAGTTTGAGTGGAAAAAATATCCAGAGCACACAGAGCAGCAGAGGCCAAGGGAAGGGGACCCACCAAGGTAGTGTGAGCCCCTGTGGCCATGGCGCCAGAGGACGGGGTCCCCACCGGCTCCCCGTTGACCCCAGGCTCTCTGTGCTCCTGGGGGCTCGGAGAAGTAGAGAGCCCATCTGGCCTGGAAAACAGACCCTGAACCCAGTCCGGCTTCGAGAGCAAACACCAGTTTGTGGCCACAGAGATACAGGGGTGTTCACTACACCCCAAACCCTCCTTGCATCCAAGTTTTCAGGTCAAAGGACCTTCTTTTCTGACCACGAATGGCTCTAAAAGAAGCGTAGCCTGCAGACCACAGGAAAGCCACAGAGAGCAGGTTGTCAGGGGTCCCTGTAGGTGCCCATCCAAACACCCACCTATGAAATGCAGCCGAGGGCAGCCCAGACAGAGGCTTTGCTGTGCAGACCTTCATTCTGTGAGCGTGATCAATTCTGTGGCCGTGATCACCACAGTGTTGGAGGAAAAGCGTCTTTATCCACTAAACATGTCTAAAAGGTCTCATGAACAAAGACGACAGTGGTGTTGTTTGAAAGCTGGGCTTGGGGAGCACAGAGATGAGGGGGGTGGGCCTAGAGACAGGACTGGGAGCACAGCAGGATGAAGCCCGAGCTCTAGGGGCATCACCTGGGCATCGAGCAGGTGACACACTCTGCCACGTGGTGAGCAGCCCAGAGGGAGGCGTCCAGAGAGCAGTTAGGTGACGCTGGAGCCAAGGCTGGAGCCAGAGGGGTGCGGCTGCCTTTGTTGCAGCTGAGGTGGAGAGGACCACCGGGCCCGAAGGAAAAGGCAGAGCGACCTGCTCCAGAACATTCCATGGTCTTCCCGTCGGCACAGCAAAGTGCAGACTCTACCAACTTTTTGTAATTAGTCTGTAAGTTTGCAGTGAAGTACATTTAATTGTGCAAACATCAGCATCATCCATCTCCAGAACACTTTTCATCTTTCTAACCGAAAATCTGGCCCCATTAGATAGTCCCCTTCACCCCCACAATGCTCTTCCTCCCCCACTACCATCTTGCCTGTGGCCATTTCTATTTTACTTCTGGTCTCAAATATGGCCATTCTAGATTTAAGACTCACCTAGCATGTGTCTTTCTGTGGCTGGCTTATTTCACTGAGCTTTATTCATATTGTAACAAGTGTCAGAATGTCTTTCCTTCCTTTTCAAGGCTGACTAATATTCCACCGTGCACACAGCACATGTTTATCTAGTCATCCATCAGTGGGCACCTGGGTTGCTTTCATCCTTTTTGGCTGCTATGAATGTGGACATGGAAGTGTCTCCTTGAGACATTGTTTCCAGTCCCTGCACCCAGAGGTGGTAATTCTCCATGATTCTATGTGTGAGGATTGGCCGGGCTGTTTCTATAAGCAGCTGTACCAACTGACTTTCCCACCAGTGGTGTGTTTCTCACCTCCTGCTGACACATGTCAGGAGCCTCACAACTCTGCCTCAGCCTCCTGGAAGGATCTGTGGGTGCGTGACTGGGAGTCAGAAGAGCCAGGAAAGGGGGAGAATTGTGGAAGTGGAAGGAAGCAATGGGTAGCGTGGAAGGGGAGACTGGAGGGTGGGTAGGATGAGGTGGGGAGACAGCTAGTGAGTGGGGGGTCAATGAGTGGAAGAGGAGAGACAATTACCCTCAGGCTGAAGTAGCCCTTTGGTCACCCACCCACACCCATCCCCAGCGCTGGAGGTCCGCACTCCAGGCCTCTTGTGAAAAACACTTCTAGACTGGGGGTCAGAACGTATGGTCGTCCGGTCTGTACTTAGGGTTGATTGCTCCTCACTGCCAGATTGCCTCAACCGAGGTCACGCAGGCAGCAAAATGTAGGTGTTAGAGGGGACTCAGGCAATTTAAGCACATTTCAAAGGGCTGTCGGCAGTTAATTATGGACCTTGAGAAGAGACGGATAATCACAGGGAGGCCCCAGGTGCTTCTGACAACCCATCCATCCATCCTCCAGGAGGCCTCCATGCAGATGCAGGTGGGGCTCAGACGCTGCATGAGACGCTGCTCTCCACAAAGGCACAGTGCTGGACAATTTTCAGAACCCCGAGGTGTAAATGTGAGGTGTAAATGGATGGAGCCCTCTCGCTGGGCATGTGACCTGAATCCAGCCAACCAGAGCACCTCATTCTTCAGACCAGAATGATTGGCTCAAATCGAGACATGCACCCCAGAGTTGGCCCAGGGAATCCCTCCCCAGCCGTGTGCTGGGCAAAACTACTCTCTTTCCACCACCACCGCCACGCTGGTAAGCCAAGAGCTGCTGGTGGCCATCGTTGCCTCCCACCTGGAAAGAGCCTGACAAAGGTCACGTAGAGGACGAAGGAGGAGACTGAGTCCTCGTGACCTCTTGGAACACCTGGATCCAGCCATGCCTGAAGTCAGACTTTTCTATTACATGAGCCATCCAGTTTCCTTTCATTGCTCAAGTCAGTTTAGGTGACGTTTCTGTCACTGATAACAGAAGGTCACCCAGCAAGGAAAATATGCTTGGGTATTCTAGGTTTTCAGCTGGGCACAGCATGATGGCCAGAAAGGTGATTCTCAAATGGACCCCAAGGGAGTTGGTGGAGCGCCTGAGTTTGGAACCTGGCCTGGCATGGGCCCATCTGTGGCCCGAGTGAGGGATTAGCTCACCTTGGTCCCTGGGGCCTGACAAACGTGCTCTTTCCACCACAGTTGCCAAGCTGGTGTCAGCCACACCGCAGGGTGGGTTGAAGAAACAGCTCCCAGACGCCTGTATCCGACACATGCCTGACGGACTTGCTGGTGCTCCAAGGGGCCCCTGGGACATCTACAAGGACCTCCCAGGTCGCCTCTGGTCCTCTGGAGCCACAGCCCCCAGTGCAGACCGGAGTCTGCCTTCCTGGCTTCCCATCAGAACCACCTCCTGCTCCTCCCTGGGCCTGCGACATCTCGCCGTGAGGCCCACCCGAATGTGCCCTGCTGGCCTTCCCTGTGCTCGGCCACCGGCCCCCCTCCTCACCGCTTGTCAACCCACCTCCCCTCCTGGCCACTATGGCTGCTCCTTCTGTCCCCCAGTCTCCCTGGCACACTCTGGCCTGGCCTATGGTAGCCCTGCTCATGGCGTCCTGCCCCGTCCTCCACCCCGCCACCAGGCCCAGCCCAGTTCTCAGCACTCAAGGGGCTGCTAAGTGCTGGCTGACAGCCCGGCCTCACCCCTCTGCCACCCGCAGGCCTCGCCGTGGGCAAGCCCTGCCCTGCACCACCGGTGGGCCCTGGTATTAATAGCTGATGGTTTTAATACCCTCGGTGAGGCGATGAGCGCAGCAATCAAAGCCGCCAGCCCTGTGCTTGCTGTATAATTACGCTTGATCACTGCTCAGCTAGCGCTGATTGCGGCTCAGAGATGCGCCCCGTTTTCAGGCTGGTGGGGCTGAGGCCCTCAGCGGCCTAACGAGGGTAATTGAGGCAGGGCTGATTGTGCCGGAAAGCTAGAGGGGACTGAGCCGTGAGAACGGGCCACGTCACACCCCAAACAGGACCGCGTTTGCTAAATTTGTTTCCGATGCAATTTCATGGTGATTACGCTGATTTCTCCCTAGTAATTGAGCCTGGCACCGAGCTGGATGCCTGCCGCCCGGCTGTCAAGACGGGCCCGTTTTGGAGCCGGAGGCTTCGATGATGATTTATAGGCCGCTGTCACAGCCCTGGGGACAGAGGTGGGCCTTGCTCGGCAGGCTTGGGCGCTGCTGTTCTCCCGGGCCTCCTGAAATGCTCCCAGTCCTGCCAGCACTTGCCACCACGCAGCCTTTGGGGATAGCAAGAACTACTGCACAAGTCCACCTCTACAGTCCCACAGAGGCCGGCCGGGAGGGCACTCTTTGGCAGTCCACATGCCGTGTCTTTTGGACACAGCACAGGTCTCGCCCAGACACAGCCCTGCCGTCATCCGGAATGATCACCTCTGGCCCAGGTCTACCCCAGGGCAGGCAGCGAGGGCCCAAAGAAGGGTCCCACCTGGATCACCCTCTCGCAGAGGAGGCACCAACCCTGTCTGCAGGGAGAGCTGTCAGGCTTGTCTTGGGCTGGAACAGCAGGTCTGTGCCAGAAAGGCCATTTCCCAAACTGGGTCCCTCAGCGGCAAGGTTCCCAGCAAGAGCGCTCCTGAGCGAGAAAAGCCTGGGAAGGCAGCTCCAGTCCCTGTCTGTTCAAAGGGAGGGTCCCAGGACGGGCCTCAGAGTCTGCCTTTTAACAAGGCCCGGGAAAGCCAGTCTCTGAGGCAGTTCACAATGCTGCAGCGCTCGAGCATCACCTGGGATTCCACCAGGCCCTCAAGCCGGGGCATGGGCCTTGGAGTCTGTCTCAGACGTCCCTGACAGACAAGCTCCCTACAGGCAGGCAGGCTGTCAGGCAGCGCTCCTGCCCCCAGGCCACCGACTCCCCAGGGGCTGCAGGAAGAGCTCGCAGGGACAGGCCGCTGCTTGCTGCTGGGATGGCCGAAGCAGCCACGAACACCAGCACCCCCAGCCGGGCCAGCCGGCGTGAGCCCCCGGCCGCCGTGAGCTCCCAGGGGGCCCCCTGCCTCCCGCAGGCCGCACAGCCCTGGCCCAGACCCCTCCCAGCAAGGACAACCTGGAGCCGAGAGTTTTAGCAAAAATGTTTAATCTCTCCTTAGTGTGTGTGTGTATTTACAAGTACTAAATCTGAAGACCAGTAAAATAGGAAATAGCCGTATATTTACAGTCTGGGGGTGTGTGAGCGCCACCGTCACACTGCTTCTGTGAGAAGCAATGGCTGAGGGGCTCTTCTCTTTTTTGGGGGGGGCTGCTCTGTGGCATTAAAGGACAGCTAATTGTGGGCTTTGTCTGAAAAATATCTCTCTCTCTAAATATATCTACTCTAGCTCATGTAGCACCAACGACGTGAGCCATCGAGTCCCGAGCTGGGAGAAAGCCAGTGCAGGCTCTCAGGAAGGTCGGGGGCAGGAAGGACATGTGGGGCCTCTGCCTCGGGGGCCCCCTGCCCTCGGCCTCCAGGTCGGGGTGCCCAGGGCAAGCTCGAGGTATACGGAGAGGCCAGGCTCCCGGGGGGGGGGGGGCGGTGGAGGGGCTGAGAGACGCGGGCGGCAATAGCAGCAGTGTCTGGGGCAGGTGGGTACTGCCAGCACAGCACCCCAAGCCTGGAGACTGCAGAGCAGTCCTTGAGAGCACTGAGCCCCCAGCCTCACTGCGCAGTGAGACCCCTGCCAGGCCCCACCCCCCCACCCCCGGGCCAGTGTTCCCGATCGAGGTGACACGGGAGTAGCTGGGTCCAGAGCCTGGGAGGGGACCGCGCTGGGGGGCGTGGGGAGCAGTGACAAGCCACAGCCCAACTCCTCCGCCTGGGAGGCCGGCGCGGCGTCAGGTCGGCCCCTCTGTAAACAGACCTTGCTAAAGTGCTTGGCCCCCGCGGGGATCACACCAGGCAGGGCCGGTCGGCGCCTTCCCAAAGACCCTGCCTGGTGGCACCAGGGTGCGGGGAGGGCCCGGCCTCTGGGGTGAGCACAGGAGGCCCAGCAGGGATGGGGACAGGGACGGGGTGGGGGCGGGGGCCTAAGGAAGGGGTCCGGAGGGTTCTAAAGAGAGTTGGCAAAAGGGCCAACGACCCCCAACCTGACCAGAGCAAAACTGGGAGAATGGGGCTTCAGTTAGGAGCCAGCATAGGGAAGACTTCAGGGGGAACAGGGTCTCCCCCAAGTGCATGAGCAGGGAGGTGGGACACACCCAGGGGCAGGACTCCTGGCAAGCAAGGGGCCACCCCGCTCCACTGAGCGGCCTCAGCTCTGGCCCCCAGGCTGGCCCCGGGAGCGAGCCCACTTGGGCCGAGCGGTGGCCGCCCATGGTCACAGTGGGCTCCGTCCCCCGGGGACTCCCCCGGGCGCCTGAGTCAGCAGCTCACTGACCTCACCACTCCCTAGCTCCCGATGCCCCCACTCCTGCCCCCCGAGGCGCCCAGGGCGGCCCGGGCTGGGCGGCCACAGTTAGCTGTCCCTTAAAAGTCCGCGGGAGTCTTTAGTACCGTCGAGAAAGTGAACTTGGGAAGGGGACAGGCCGACTGTTTGCTTTCACAAGTGACTGATTAATTAAAAAACATAAAAAAGGGGCTAACAACCTCTAGGATTCAACACTTGCAGTTTTAAAAAGATCAAGTCAGACTAAACGCTAGCACAGTCATGCAGGGATCCACGGGCCCCGTGCCCCGGAAACTCTTGGGGGGCCCCGCACCTCAGAAGCTCTTGGGGGGCTCGGGAGAAGTTCTCTCCTTTTTATGTCAAATGAAATCAAAGACGACCGGTGGGTCAAGGGGCAAAGGCCTCAGGGGTGCCCCTCGGGAAACTGGCCACGTCTCCACGACCGTTTGGTATTGCTTTCCCACTGTCTGAATTTTCTTATTCTAAATTGTTTTGAAAATTTCTCCTCCAGTTAACTGTACAGGACCCCACTGGGGCTGGAGACTGGGGCTAACGCCACATATATATGTGTGTGTATATATATCCATATACACACACACACACATATATATATACATATATATATGTACAGGTTTTGTTTTTTTTTTAATTAAAAATGTGTTCTCTCTCACTCACTGAGGGTAAAGTGGACACTGCCGACCACCAGGCCCTCTGGTCAGAGGCCTGCTCCCAGCCAGGCCAGCAGTGGGCATGGCCCCAGGGCCTGCCGCCACCTGGCTGCCCGCGCAGGAGCACGCCAGGGCGCCCCTCGAAAGCAGTCCCGGAGCCCCATTGTCTTTGGGGCTGGCACGCTGCTGGGATGCCACACCGGAAGCCACTGGAAGGCGATGTGAGAGCGGGGACACAGAGTGGACAGGCAGGAGGGGAGAGGAAGGAGCGGCCAGGCGGCTCCCGGAGCCCCGCTGGCCTGAGAGTGGGGGGCGGGGAATAAATAACAGGAACGTGATGACTCGGAGCCCCAGGCCCAGCGGCTCCCAGAGGCACAGCCCTGAGGACGGAGGGGAGTCGCCGAGTCCTTCTGGAAGCCACTTGGAGCCGTGAGCGGAGCCGTCCTGCAGCCCCTCCATAGGAGGGAGCTGGGGGCTTCTCTCGGGCCTCGGCCGCGAGAGCACGCGGTGAATCGCAGGATGGTGGCGGCGGTGTGGCAGTGGGCGGGGGTGCCCGGCGTGGCGGGCTCGGGCGACGATCCAGAGCGACTTCAGCCCCCCTCGGGGAGCTCTGGGCGTTCAGCCTCCCCGCCGGCTGCCGGCCAGACCCTGGCCCTCAGATTCCCCCGAGGCTGGGGTCTGCGACTCCCACTGGGCCCGGCGGGCAGGCCTCGCGGGCAGGGGCCAGACGGCGTCCCCTCCCGAGGACTCCAGTCTTACCCGCAAGTTCCTCAGCAGTCACCCCATTCTCCTGCAAGGCCCCCAGCCGCACCTGGGCTCCCCTAGTCCTGTGGTGAGCAGCTCTGGGCAGGGAGAGCGCCACAGGCACCCTCTCACCGCACCAATAAGAACCAGGACCCCCGCCGAGCGGGAAGGGAGCGGGCGCAGGTGGGCAGCTGCCTCCGAGAGCCTCCAGAACGGCGGTGGTCAGAGGCCGCCTCCTCGGGTCCTCGTGATAGTCTCCCGCTGGACAGTCGCTGCCCGGTGGCTCAGCTGCTCAGGGCCATCGTGTCCACCACCTGCTCCAGCTTGCTCCGGAGCCGCTGCCGCCGCGCCTGCTCATCCTTCTCCAGGGCCGTGAGGATCTGCGGAGCGGGGCGGGTGTCAGTGGCTGGCAGAGGCCGCCGCGGCAGCGGGCCGAGGGTGGCACACAGGGCAGAGGCACGCTTGTGGCCGGTGGGACGCAAGCCGAGGCCGGTCTGCCCCTTCCGTTCCTAGCTGAGGGCCTGGACCACCCCGGGGTGCCAGTGAGGAGGGCGAGTCCCCAGGTCACCCCACCCTTCCTGCACCTGGCCAGAAACACCAGCCCTAGCCAGCTCCTCCCCAGCCCCGGCCACCCAAAGCAGGGCCCCGCCACCTGGGGTGTGGACACGTCACCAGCCCTTCAAGAACTGCAATGCAGCCCAGTGTTGGGTCCTTCAAGGAAGCAGGAGTACCCCAAACTTGCCCTCCCCACCCCCTTGCCAACACGCTCAAGTCTCTTTGTGCACACGGCTCATTCATTCCCACCGCCCGCCACCTGGTCACTGGAGTCGGACCCCACGCTCAGGCGGATGGACAAGGCCTGGCCCCTCACCCCCGCCCCAACCCAGCCACCACGGCGCCCCTTCACCCCGGCGCTGGCTGGCAGGTACAGGCTCCTGTTCTGAGTCTCGACAGCCGCGCCTCACTTGCCAACTGCCCCAGGCCCCCGAGGCCTCGCACCCGGGGTGAGGGCTCGGCCCACCTGCGGCTCCTCCCAGCCTGAGTGCTGCAGCTCACACTCCTCAGGGGCCCAGCTCTGGCCACGCCCCCGCCTCTGGGCCCGAGCACCCCGTCCAGCTGCCTCCCGTGCCCAGGGAGTACCAGCTCTGTGCACACGGCGCCCGGAGGCCTCCTGCGGCTTCACCTCAAGTCAGCAGAGAAGGTGCGGCAGGGCTGAGGGGGGCCCGGGGCCCTGCCCTGCAGGGGACCACTCAGGCCGAGAAACGCAGCCCCGCGGGGAGCAGTCGCTCCCCAAGCCGCCTGCGCCCCCTCGCGCCCGGCTGGCTGCAGCCCAGCCCCCCGCGAGTGGCAGCACACAGGTGCCGGTGCTGAGCGCGAGAGGGTGGCGGCGGCCGGCGGCCGTGGCGAGGGCCTGCTCACCTCGTCCTTGTACTTGGTGATGTAGGAGTAGATCTCGTGCAAGGCGCTCATGCTGTTGAACTGGCTGAGGTGCAGCCGGGACTGCTCGGCCAGGTACGCGCTCATGTCCTGGTCGCTGATGGCGGGCATCTTGGCGATGTCGGCGTAGTACCTGAGCCGGGGCAGGGAGCTGAGTGAGGGGGGGCCCGGCACGCCCTGCCCCACCGGCCCCGTGCGCCCCGCGGCCCCACCTCTCCACCCAGCTCTTGTAGTTGGGGATGTCCTTGGCGTAGAGCAGCTTGTTGGAGGGCGAGTCCTTGCCCAGCTTGTGCTCGGACGTGGAGCAGGAGTCCATGAAGGTCTGGGCCACCACCGACAGGCAGGCGTCCGTGATGCTGCTCTTGTGGATGTCGAACACGAACTGCGGGTTCTTGATCACGTTCACCCAGAAGCGCAGGGGCAGGCTGCGGGTGGCAAGCCCAGGGCAGGTCAGCGGGCGTGGCACCCCTCCGGGAGCACAGGGACGGGAGGGCGGGCCACGGACCCGCCATCGTGGACTGCCACGCCGACAAGGGCGCCCGGCCCTCGGGGCTCTCAGTGAGTGCGGAGTCGGCCGCCCCCCGCCAGGGCCGCGCGCCCCCCCCCCACCTCCCCAGGAAGGCCAACGGTCACACACAGAGACGTGGCCAGGAGCAGCCCTCGGCCGAGGCGCCCGCCAGAGCCAGCACGCTCCTAGGGCCGCCGCTCACCGCCTCAGCCCCCACGCTGCGCCAGCCCCCCCGGCTCACACATGCTCCGCCAAGACAGGCCCTGACAGTAGGCCCGGGGGGGCGCCCGCCGGGGGCCACCTCTGTGCCCAGCCTCGAGGACAGGCACCGGCCGGGCCGTCCTGCAGCCGCCAGTCACGCAACATCACTGTGACACTTAACGGAAGCAAAGTTCCACGCAGCTTAACATTCAGACTCTCAGTGGCACTGGTCACGTGTGCCACGTCGTGTCCTGTGCTGATGGCGGGCGCCCTGGCGAAGTCGGCGTAGGACCTGCAGCCAGCAGCCACCACGCGGCCGGCAGCCACCCCTCCGGCTAGAGCAGGTCTCCATCCTCCGCCACCGGGGAGTCGCCTGGGTGCTGACCTGGATGACGCCAGCCCCGCGCCCAGGGAGCACCCTCAGGGCACGAGAAGCTGGAGAGCCTGGGCTGCACCCCGGGGTTGAGAAGCAGGAGCACGCGGAGGCCAGCACATAGGGCAGGACCTCCGGGCGCAGGGCAGACAAGGGCAGAGGCACAAAGGTGTCTCTGAAGACGGGTCAAATGCTGCCGAGGGCCTGAGGTCCGGCTTGGGAGGGCTGGCCAGCCAGGCCGGGCCTGGGCCCCAGGAGATGGGGCTGTTAACCCCCAGGGTGGATGAGTTCCCCCCAGTTTGTTGTCACCCCTGCCACACAGGCTGGCGAGGCCTGGCCGCCGAGCCCATTCCTCGCCCAGAGGCCCAGGCTCTCAGCCCACCACGGCCACGCGGCCCAGGGCCGGCACAGACACATGTGGCCAGCCACACCTCCAGCACACGCCCAGCGGGGTCACTCGGAGCAGGGTTGGCCCGGGCCTGGGGCAGGGCGGCCGAGGGTGCTGGCCTGTGAGTGGAGCAGGCTGCACAGAGGGGCGGGGAGACCACGCCACGCCCGGGCTCGGCCACCCAAGGCCTGTGGCGGCCTCCTGCGGCCGCCGCGCCTGCTCGGAGTGGGGCTGAGTGCCCGCCGGGCCCGCCCCACGCCGGTGCCCCGCCCTGCAGGTACCAGTTGCTCTTCCAGGTGTGGCGCACGTCCGCGTCATGTATCTGATGCTGGTCGGCCTGCTCGTCCAGGAAGTCGAACATGTACTTGATGGCCAGCGGCAGGGCGGAGCCGCGGTGCGCCGTGCTGAAGATGGTCTCGAACAGGTCGTCCACGAACTTCTGCAGCGTGCCCTGTGGGTGGCACGGGCACCGAGCTGCAGGGGCGGCCCTGGCACCGCACCACCTCCTGGGGCACCTGGGCAGCTGGCGGCAGAACAGGGGCGAGGGCGGGCTGGCGCCCCACGTCCCATCACCTGCTCTTTTACCTTGGTGGCCAGCAGGCGCGTCAGGTAGATCTCTGAGACCATCTTGCTGCCGCGGTCACCCTCCCGCTGGTCCAGGTGGTCGTGGTTCTTCACCAGGTGCCACAGCTTGGTGCCACTCTCCAGGTCGGGCGTGATCATGGGCGTGCGGGAGCGCAGGCTGTCGGGGCTGCTGGCCGTGCGCAGCATGCTCTCTGCGGGCATTTGCCGTCAGCGCGGCCCGCACCAGGCCGCCCCGCCAGGCTGCCTCTGTGCCCGCGCCTCAGTTTCCTCTCCCAAACTCTGGGCGTCCACCACACCTCGCGGGTGGCTGGGGCAGTCACCCAGGGAGACGGCAGGAACGCCCCTGAGCCAGAATGTGCCGTGGGGCAGCGCAGCCCCCAATTCAAGCGGAGGCCAAGTCTTGGCGTGACAGACGGTGACAAAACCCCGCCCAGCCTTCGCAAGGAGGCAGCCCCAGGCTGGCGGCCCTGCCGGCCCCGGGCTTACCATATCTGCTGAGGGACTTGGTGAAGGTGGAGGAGTTGGAGATGTTGTAGGCAGATGTCTGCTTGGGCACCAGCGCCACCGAAGACCCGTCTGTCACCTGAGGGGGGGAGCCAGGACACGCATGACCCACCATCGGGGCCCAGGTGACACCCCGGTTCTGTGCCTGGAGGCCAGTCACCTCGGGGCCCTGAGCCTTAGCTAACCCACCAGAGCCCCTCGAGGGCCGTGGGGACGGCTGATGGACGCGGCTGATGGGCCGGGGGAGGTCACCCAGTGACCACGTCTCCTTTTCTCCCTGACATTCACCGCCCTCCCGGGGGGCTGGACAGGGCTCCCGTGCAGCTCCGGAACCTCAAGGCTGGACGCTCAGGAGGGCTCGGGGTCACCTGGTAGTGAGCCAGCGTGTTCAGCCTCTTCCAGTCATTGTCGATCTTGGTGGTGACGTCCTCGTCCTGCAGGATGATGCGAGCCATGCGGCCCTGGCGCCATTCTGCGGGGTAAGGGGGCACTGAGGGGCGGCCACCGGGCAGGGGTCACCGGCGCCCTGGCCTCCGGGCCTGCTCCCGTCCTGGCCGCCAGCCTCTAGCGGCAGGAAGGTAAGACCAAAGGGGCCCGGGGACACTTAGCGAAGACCTGACCCGCAGAACAATGAAGGGCCACTCTGGCTCCTCGAGGCCTCCAGGCAGCCAGGGCCTGGCTCACAGCAGGAAGCTGGAGCCCTGGCAGCTGAAACCTGCTCCCCGCCTGCTGAGGTGGCCCTGCGGCCACCCCAGCCGCCCAGTCCCTGTGGCTCTCCGGCCCCTGAGCCCTGGGCCCAACTCTGCAGCTTGGCGGCCCTCCCCAGCTCCTTCTACCCCAGGCCCCACCCCCGCCTGCTCTTCTGGCTCTCCCTAGCTCGACAGGGCCCCCGAGATTGTCTAGGTCATAAGCAAGAGGCCCCGCTGCCTTGAATTCTGATGGCACACTTAGCTCCTGGAGTGGGGAGAATCTACCGCCCCACCCAGCTCTCGCCGGGACAGCATGGCAGCTAAGCTCTACCCCTCCTTCCACCCTTCCTCCACCCCGCTAGGAGATTTGGGGAACCCAGCTCCACCGATCCCATCCCTCCCCACTCCCGTGTCTCGTACCCTCTGACCAGGGCCCAGACTGCACCCCCGATGGGTGCCCCGGTGCTCCCCCCTGCCTCGGGCCTTGGCACACACCGGCCCACCACCCAGCGCCCTGCGCAGCCGCTCCGCCAGCCAGCTCACCCAGGTCCATGTCCCCGGCCTTGGGCCGCTGGGAGTAGGGCACGCCCTTATACACAGCGTCCAGCAGCTTCTCCTTGACCTGCGTCACCGTGTCGCAGTTCAGTCCCTTCACCGGCACCTCCGGTGCATTCTCGTTCTCGGGGTTCACGCAGTTCAACGTCTGCAGGTAGGAGGGGTGGTGATGTCAGGGCCCCCCTCCCCAGGTGGGCCCTAGGGAGCCCTGCGCGGCCGGGGCAGGAGCCGGGCGCCCGCCCTCACCAGCGTCTTGTAGTCGATCTGCTGCCGGATGAGCTTGTCCTCGCTCAGCGAGTAGCGGGCCTCGCCCGTGATGGCGTCGATGGGGCCCTTCTCCATCTGCTGCTTGATGGCGCAGTACAGCATGAAGAGCGGCTCCCCCGCGCACTCCTGCGGATGGGGAGGGTCAGGCCGGGCTGCCGGCACCCCCCGCCCAGCGTGTCCACACCACTCCTGCACCAGCAGAAGTGAGTGACGCTTCCTGACCCGTCACGGCGGGCAGGCGGGACCCCGGCTCCAAAGCCCAACAAGGCCTGTGCACACACAGATCCGCTGTCCCCCGGACGCCCCCGTGGCTACTCTAAATGCGGCCGGGGCAGGAGGCGGAGGGCACATCTAAGGCCACGCGGCTTTGCACCAGGAAGGCCAAGGCCAGTCCACCCCGCCCTGACGCCCCTGCACCCACTTAGGAGTCTAGCCCAGGAGGAGCCCCAGCCCACACGGCGTGGCTGTGACCTGTTGGGTGCGGGGCCCCAGCTGGGACCGGCCCCTGTGGTCGGAGGCCGCCCCCCGCTCTGGGGCCAGGTGCAGCGCACGGGCCGAGGGGACTGGCCGGCAGCAGGGCACAGGGGCCCACGACCGAGCCGAGTCTCAGCAGGGCTGGGAGCGGCTAGGCGTCCTCCGGGCGCTGGGGGGCCTGCCGGCCTCTGCCGCTCACTGCTCACCCTCCGGTCACGTCCTCACACTGCCGCCAAAAAGGCCACTCGCAGCTCCTCCCACCAGCCCAGGCTCGCTGCAACCTCGGGGCTTCAAGGCCCCTTCCAAATGCAAATCAACACCCCTCCTCGGAAAGGCTCTCCCTGACCACGGGGCCAAAGCCACAGGCCCGCTGCCCTTCTGGACTCCTGCGCCCCCGACGAGCGTGGTCGCTTTGCTGCGTCTCCCCAGAGTGGGGACTACCCGAGGCCACGGCACACGGGCTCCCTCGCAGTCCACCCCCGTGCCCAGCAGGGGCCTGCGCGCGCCAGGGCTGCACAGACACGGCCTGGCGCTGAGGACGGACAGGGCGGACGCAGCCGTGAAGGAAGGCCTGCGTCACGGGGCGAAGAGCATCACCCAGGGCCCCGAGAGCGCCCGACTGCAGCGGCTGGGCTGGCGTCCCTGCACCGGGGAGTCCCACCTGGGCCTCGACCGGGCTGCCCGAGGCCGCTCGGGAGGGCGTGAGCCCCAAGCAGGTGGCAGCTGGCCACTCGGCCTCCTCCTGGCTCCCACCCGGCCGACACAAGATCAGCAGCTCGGCCCCGGCAGATGCTCTGGCCCCTCGTCAGAGGCTGTGGTCATCACAGACAGCTGCTAAAGAGCGGCCGCAGCACAGACCCTCCCAGGGCCCTCCGACATCACGCCTGTCTTTGGAATTATGTTTCATTTGCAAAGTTGGCCTCATTAAGCCAGCCAGGAAGGAGGAGAGACGGGGCGTGGCTGGAGACGCAGAGCCACTAACAGCCGCTTCTTCCTGCGACGCCGCTGGGGAGCGGCCTGAGGACAGAGCGCGCAAACCAGCCCCAGGTGAACCTCGGAGAGGAGAGAGGCGTGTCTCCCAAGGCCAGAGTGGAAGGTTCCGGGCCCACCACTGCAGGGCAGACCACCAGAAGGCAGGACACTCCCTCTAGAGCACTGGCCCTTGAAGGCCAAGTGTCTCGGGCGGGTCCGGCCAGGTGCCGCTCCGGCTCTGCCTGGGACCCCACTCGCTCCGCAAGAGCTGCCGAGGTGGCGGAGCTGAGCCCAGATGGGAGGCCGGGAGGCCCAGGCCAGGGCCTCGGCCAGCCTTGCCCTCCCTGGGCCTCACTCACATGCACAGCAAGGGGCAAAGGAGGACCTCAGATGCTTCCCAGCCTCAGCTGTTAATGTGCAGAAGCCGCCTGATAAACGTTGTATGTAAGGGACAATAGGTTGAAATCGCCAAATTAAAAGATCCACTTTAATTTAAAAGTAAAAAGATAAAACTGTTTGATAAATAATGTTAGGGTTGGTGCTTTTTCCCTTTGGGGGGAAATCATCTAGTGAGGTCCCTACCTCACACCACTTCTTAGCATAACATTGGAATTAAAAGACAGAGTATATATTTTTTAAAAAGCTATAAAAATTGGCAAAAGATAGAAATATACAATTCACCAAAAAATAAGAGGCCAATCAAACACATAAAAAGATGCTCAACTTGTCAAAGACATGCTAACGAAAGCAGTAAGTTGCCAAGTTGGCAAAGATGGAAAAGGCTGATACAGCAAGAGCTACCCAAGTCCTGAGTGAGCCACGGCTCAAACACCAAAGCAGGGCGACCTCTGCTACAGGCAACCTGGCGGTGTCTTAAAAGCGAGCACACCTGATCACCTGCGTCACCCCTGAAGCCCGCTGGTGCCAACACAGCAACAAAGGAAACAGATCAGATCAGAATGTTGGCGCAGCACTAACGGGGACGGGGTCTCCTGACACCCACCAGCAGGGCCCCTGCAGACCAGTCACAGCAGTCAAAAGCATGTGACAGGTAGCTACGTCGGGACTGCAAAGGTGGCCACAGCACTCCGCTCAAGGGGCAGCATCTCCCTCACACCTGTTCACCTGCCCCCAACACCTTCCAGACAGTTCTCCCGCTGCCACCTACCTTGAGGAACTTGTACAAAAGGAAGGTGAACCAATTGGTCAGCATCTTCTCGGCCACTGACTCCGTCCTGCGGACATGACCAGGCAAAGGTGTCAAGCTCCCATCATCAGCGGTCGCCGTGCCCACCTCCGGCACCACTGAAGGTCCGGCCTCAGTCAGTCAACTAGGGACTGTCAAGGACTCCAGGCAGGCCTCTGACTGAGACACCTGGGCCTGGCATGCATGGGCACAGAGAGGGGTGCCTGAGCCCAGAGTGGATCCCCACTACCACTATCCAGGCCGAGGAAGCTGGGGTGCACCCCCCTGCATTTCAGCAGCACCTCTGGGCTGGGCAGCCAGCAGGGCCTCTCCTTTCTGCAGGTGGGAGTCACAGGCCTGCCCGCCTGCCCGCCTGCCCGCCCGCCCGCCCGCCCGCCCGCCAGCTCACCTGCGCAGCAGCAGTTTGGGGTGGTTCTTGCTCTCCAGGTTCTTCTCAATGAGGTCCGACAGCAGCTGCTTGAGCACGCCCGTGGCATACTCCATCTCGCCCTGCAGGGCCGTCATGATGAGTGAGGCCACGTTCCCTCGGTCGCGCATGGAGAAGCTGCGCTGGGCCTCCAGAGTGCGGATGAAGGTCAGCAGGAAGTGCTTCTTGGTCAGCAGCTGCCCGAACAGCGTCAGCGATTTCTCCACATTGGCCTGCACCTGGCGGGGAACACGAGTCTGTCAGACCTCCCATCCCGACGAATGCGGCGGGCAGGCCTTCTGCTGAGAAGCTGTCCAGGCCGGCGTACTCAGGCAGGTGAGGCCGGCAGGCAGGAGTGGGGAGACATGGGTGTGTGTTACCTGGACAGGCCCCCGGGTCTCCAACGTCCTCAATGGATGTGGCCTGGCAGCGGCCTGACAAGTCCCCCACAGGTAGAGACCAGGACGTGGTGAGGGTCTGTTCTTGCCACCTTCCTGTGGCCAAGCCCTGAGACTGGCGGCCCCCACGGTCTGGCCCTCGTGGCTCGGAAGCAGCCTGTCTCAATGCCCTCGCCCGGGCAGCCTCTAGCTCTGCCCTCGCCACAACCAGCAATGCGGAGCAAGACCCCATTTCACTGGGGAAGACACTGAAGTCCAGAGAGGCAGAGACTTGTTCAGGGCCAAGCGGCAGGGGAGTGGAATACAGGCATGGCGGGCTCCGGCGCCCTGTTCTCCTTACCCACATCAAGGCTTGAGGGCAGGAGGCTCCAGACCTGGCTGCGCCAGAGGCTGCCAGAGGCACCTTCTCAGCCCGGCAGCCAGTGACACGCCTCTGGAACACACAGCCTGGGCGAGAACAGGCAATACAGCCGCACGGACGGCAACACCAGGAGACACCCAGTGGGGACTCGGGGGCCCAGACTTGGTACTAAGCCCAGGCAAGGCTCTGGGCCCAAGCCAGAGCGACAGGAAGGCCCGTTCAGGTCCGGCTCAAGAGGGAATGTCGCACCAGCAGAGCCCAAGGGAAGGGAGCTCTCTGACACCCGGGGGTGCAGGGCAATGATGCCCCAGGCCGGAGAGACATCAAGGCCAACTTTGCACAGACCTTGGCTGTTCTCAGATGGGGACTGGGCTCCTGGCCTGGCACGGAGGGGCTTTGAGAACTTGGGGGCGGCCCATTTCCCCAGCAGAGTTGTGCCAACACCCACACGGCCAAAGCCAGCGCTGTGCCCACACTGCATCAGTGACACGCTCCCACCCGGAACAGCCGCACGCACTCTGCCTGGCACCCCTGCCTCCAGCATGCACTGAGCAGCCCCTGCCCAGGGAACTTCAGGGCCAGGTGGGCGGCCGCTGGCAATCAATGGACTAGAGAGCCCAGCAAGATGGATGCAAACCCCAGGGGTGCAGCCAGGGCCCCTGGCCAGACCCCCCTCCACGGGCCCTCCTTCCTGCCACCGCCCAGAGCCAGGCCTCCCGGTGCCCCTCCCCCTCAGCTGAGCCCAGAGCCCCGCAGACTTGGGAATCCCCAGGACCTTCCAGTTGCCCATCAGCACACAAGGAGGCCCCAGAGAGCTGCCCACCTCCATCTCCTTGAGCACCGGGTGGTCCTCGATCCCGGGGAAGAGCACCCGCATGGCATACGTTCGGTAATCGAGAAAGGGGATGCCAGCACCATCCAGATCATTGGTCAGTTCATGGATGTCCGTCTGTAGTTCTGCAAAGGCTGTGGCCAAGAGTGGGGTGAGGGTAGCCTCCCGCTGGGACCCACGCCCTCCCACACGGGGCCAGCCTCGAGCCCTGGCCCTGCGGCTCACTGGCTGGATACCTGAAAGAGACCATCGTGTCTGCCTGCACTCGGCTTCTCCAGGGTGAACCCGTCTCTGGGTCCTTGCCAGGTTAACCAGGACAAGACCAGCTAAGGAACTGGGACCAAGGCCAGGATGGGCAGGGTCTCCTGGACCTCACGTGGGTATTTGGGGACAAAGTACCGAGGGGTGCCAGGTCCCCCTGCCACCTAGGGGGCATACTGCCTGCCTCGGCTCCCCTGGCTCAGCCACCTGGGGCGGGAAGGGAGGAGGACGGGTGGGCCAGGCGTGGGAGTTCGCCTCTGGCCCCAGGCCTGCACTGTCAACCACCACATGCACAGCTCAGGTCAGCAGACCTTTCGCGTCTCTGCGACATTCATGAACACTGCCAGGCAGGGTAGGGGAGGCCCTGACCGAACACTCTGGAGCTGCGGGGTGTTGGCCCTGCAGCAGCCACAGGGATGTGCTGCCTTATTAGGAGCCAGAGGGACATCAGGCAGGTTCTGGAGCCTGACCGGCAATTGCAGCTAGAAGCCAGGCTTCATCTTCTGGGCATTGCTGCCAGGCATCTGGTTATCTCTACCTGGCCAGCCCTGGAGCCCGCTAGCCACTATGTCCCCACATCTCTGGCAGACGAGGCCTCATGCACACGGTCTCAGTGGACAGCCACCGCCGGTGGGAGGCGCAGCCCGCAGAGGGCCCGCTCTGGCTCTGCCCAGGCTGCAGGCCCCCGTGCCCGTCCCACCAGGCTTCCCGCTGGGTCCCTGGGTGTGACCGGGAGGGGGGCACCTGGGATTCAGGGCATTCAGCTGAAGACGTCAGAGTCCCGGGAACACAAAGCCACTAGGCCTAAATGGGCTGTTTCTGGGAAGAGGCTGCCAGGCGGTGGGTGCCCACTGGGCTTCAAACCCACCCGGCTGCGGCTCCCAGCACTGTTAATACCCGCAGCGCGCTCTGGGCCGGGCACTAACAGCACACCAGAGCGTCTGCTGCGCAGCGCGGCTCCGTGCACCGGGACGGCCCTGGACACCTGAGCCTGGTTCCCGGCGCTGCGCCGTGAGCCGGCGTCACGTGGCGCAGGTGCGGCCCAGCTCCGGGGGTCCTCTTACACTCAGAACCTGGCTGCTGACTTCTCCACGAGGGCCGAGGCTGCGGTCCTGCACCCCACCACCACACACCCAGAAGCTGGCCCCACCCACCACCCGCAGGGCTGTCCAGGGCCCCATCTGGGCCACGGGGGGTGCCCGGGGTCCCGCCCCAGTGCCCCGTCTGCAGCGACGTTCCTCACGCTGCCCGCCCGCACAGTGGCCTTGTGTCAGCACCTGCTCTGCCAGGGCGGACCCCACCCTGACAGGCTGGACACCCTCTGCTCCCACCCGGGGCCTGTGTCCTGGCCCTTCCCGCCAACCTCTCCCTAGCCCACTGCTCCTCTAGCATATGACCAGGTGTGGCCTCAGGGTCCGGCCCGAACGGCGCCCATCAGGGGAGCTGCCCTTGCCCACTGCGGCCGCCTGGCCCCTGCAGGGCGAGAGCACCCTGAAGACGGAGCGGAGCGCCTAGAGGCTGCACCCGCCGGCTCCGCCGCCTCGCGGGAGGGATCAGCTGCTCCCACACTCCGAGCCCGAGCGCGAGACGCAAGGCTGAGCAGGCTGAGGTCTATGCTGAGGGGCAGGGACGCGACCCTCGCTGGCCACACCCACCGCCCGGCACCTGCTCGAAGTGCGCTCCCAGCCCCGCGGCCCTAGCGATGAGACTGCTCACACCAAGGTGGGGAAACTGAGCCACACACAAGGGTGTGTGCCCGCCCCCGGCCCTCGCCGCTGCAGCCTCGCAGACGCGGCCGAGTCCAGAGCGGCGCCTCACACCACACCCAGGGTCAAGGGGCCTTTCCAGGTCCCTGCCTGGGTCCCGCTCACAGCCTACGCACGGCCAGGCCACCGGGAACTTTCTGGACAGTGTGGTGGCGGCAGGCGGGACAGGCAGTCACAGGGAGACTGTGCCCCAGCAGCCCCGAGCCCCGCCTCCCCGTGGCCCAAACTGACCTTCCTTGCACTCGAGGGCCACGCGGGACTCCAGGTTGTCCATCTGGAGCTGCAGCCGCTTGAGGGTGCGGTCTGCGTCCCGGGACTTGCGCTTGTAGGCGATGAGCACAGCCACGATGACCAGCAGCAGGAGGCCTCCACCCCCGCCGATGCCCACGATGGCGGGCAGGGTCAGCAGGCTGTCCGAGTACACCTGCAGCATCCCTGGTGAGAACTCGAAGCCACCTGCCCGCACCTGTAGGTTGGGAGCAAATGCTCAGGGGATGCTGCGCCCACGGAGAGCTCTGGAGATGCCGCCTGGAACCCCGAGGCCCCACGGCCCCTGCCTGAGGGATCAGCAGGGCCAGAGGACGGGCTCGGGGCAGGGTCTGGGGGGCTGCCCACTGGGGCTGGGCTCTGACGTGGAGGAACCTGGGGTGTGGACACTGCTGGGCTGTCCCAGCTGAGGCAGGGCCTCAGGCCACAGGTGGCAGAGGCCTAGGAGACCAGAGCCGGTGGCCCGCCCGCCCTCGGGCCCGCACTCACCGTGACCTTGTGCTGCCCCGTGAGATTGGGCGACTCGCAGAGCAGCTGCGTCTCTGACACCGTGAGGGCGCAGGGGGTGGCGCCGATGAGCACCGTGTAGTTGAGCCGAGAGTTGCCAGGTGCAGGGGGCAAGAGGTTCCGGCCCTGCAGGGTGGGCGTGCGTCAGAGCCCTGCCTCCGCTGCCCCCGGCACTCATGCCCACCCTGCGTGGGCTGCCCCCACCTTGAGAATGAGGGGGGAGCTGGGCTTCAGCTCCAGGAAGCCGGTGGGGCTGAGCGGCTCCAGCACAGGGTCAGGGTAGTACACGAAGGCGGAGGCGTTGAGCACCAGCAGGGCGCGCACGTCGTCCATGACGAAGCCCAGCTCGTCCGGCCGCTCCCCCAGCTCGGGCGGGGTGCGCACAGGGTTGTCCACAGACGGGGCCCGGCACACCATGGTGGTGTCGTTGTACACCAGACAGCTCTGGGGACACAGACACGGGCCACTCGCCCAGCGCTCCCCACGCAGCCTGCGCCCAGGCCCCGCAGGGCCGGGCAGGCGGCCGGCCAGGCCCTGGTCTGCGCAGGACTCCCGCCCCAGACGGGCGGGGACCAAGCGCAGCGGCAGCTGAGCTGTGAGGGCCGGGGTCGGCGAGGACTCACGTTCTCTCTCTCGACGCCGCCGTACTTGGCCCGGATGCGGGGCTCTCGGACGGTGGCCAGGTTGGTGCCCGTGACCGTCAGGAGGGTGCCTCCGCTGGAAGACGAGGAGATGGGGTCACGGTCAAGTGTGCCGCCGCAGAGCGGTCCCCGCTCCGGGGTGGGGGTGCGGGGGGCGTGGGCGCCACTCTGGCAGCGCGCAGGACAGGGGCGCCTCGGGGCTCTGGCAGGCAGGGCGGCCCCACCTGTTGATGCTCCACTCGGGGTCAATCTTCAGGATGGTGGGGTCCTCGGTGTAGTTGTACTTCACCTCAGGGTTGGTGAGCTGGGCGCGGTTGATGTTGATGACGATGGGGGCGCTGCCGGGGCTCTGCCCAGGGGGTGTCAGGCACCGGATCTCCCGGGAATTCCTCCTGGAGGGTGGGTGGGACAGAGAGGGAGCAGGCGCCAAGTTCACCTTCCAGGTGGTCGAAGGACGCGTCACCACAGGCGGTGGGCAGGTCACTGGCTCTCGCAGGGCCTCCCCACCCACAAAGTGGGGACCACCACAGGATGACTGGCGTGTCACTTCACCCCTTAACCCCTCAAGGGGCCAGGCACAGGGCTGTGCCCCCATCTGTCCCAGCCGGCTTGGCACTCGAGAGTCTGCTGGACCGCCGGCCGCCTGCCCTGCTGAGCATACTCGGCAGTCGCCAGCGGCTTCTGGCGCCCCCACGTCATCCGGGAACAGACCTGCCAGCACCCCGAGGCCTCGAGCTCAGTCCGGGTGGGCGCCTCAAACAGATGGAAAGAGGGAGTCCCGCCAGCCTCAAAACGGCAGCGGGTGCAGCGGACACCCTTCCTGCCTATGGCTTCGGATGGCCACACGGAAGGTGCCCCAGACCCAGACCGTGAGAGAGCAAAACACCGTAGCAAGGAGGGGGGCCAGGACGGGGCCACAGAGGCAGCAGGGAGGGGCCAGGACGGGGCCACGGGGGGCCACGGGGCCGAGGGCGGGGCCAGGAGGGGGCTGGGGCAGCCAGCCAGCCACTGCCTGCACCTGGGGCCCCGGCCCTCAGCTCCTTAACCACAGTTGGGAGGCCCACAGCCGCCAGGCCCGCTCCGCACGGCAAGGCTGCAAACACCAATAATTAGTCTGATAACGGGTAATTACCGCAGGAAAATATTTAAAGGGCCGCTCCATTATCATCCCTAATCTAAAATTATCCACTTCAAGCCTTGGGGCTTTTGTTAAGATTTCTTTTTTCTTTCTTAAAATTTTTTTTTTACATACTTCTTATTATGTTCCCAAGGGACTCCCCAGTCCAGGACAGGGCCACTGTGCGGCCTCTCAGGTCAGGCCCCACCTACCCACCAGGGCCTGGCCCTTCCACTCCGGAGGTAGCCTGTCTCCATGGCAACCCTGTCCGCCTCCAGGTTTCCATAGTGATCACCCCAACCAGGTTATCCACACCCCCGTTTCCCAGGCAACAGAAGGGGGCACGCAGCCATCTGAACCAACCAACACCGCGGGAAGGAGGGCTGCGCCCGGCCCCCCACCTCCCGCCCGCACCCCGTACCAGGAGAAGGAGCAGGGCCGGCCGCCGACAGACACAGCCACGTCGCTGCCGGCGTTCAGGTGGCTGCCCTCGATGCCGATCCAGGTGCCCCCCGACAGCGGCCCGCGGGCGGGGCTCACGCGGTAGAAGGTCGGCGTCTAGGGAGGAGGCCGTGCTGGGGCCGGGAAGGCCGCCCTCTGGCAGCAGCCCGCCCGCCTCTCCAGCGGGACCCACCCCGTGCTCCTGGGTCTCACACGGGCCCCAGGGGCCTGGAGGCTGAAGTCAGGCCGCAGCGCGGGGCCGGGGAACGCTGCCGGCTGTCTAGGGGCTAGAGAGGCCGGAGCCCAGACAGATGGCCTGGGGCCAGGCCGGCCGCAGACGAGGCCCGGACTCCCGCAGGGGCGGGCCCGGGGAGGGGCTTACCACGAAGGTGAAGCGCTTGGGCGACAGGGCCCGGTAGTGGGGGGCGCAGTCCCTCACGCACACCTCCACCAGGGCGTCGTGGGCCCGCACCGAGCTGGCGTCCCCAATCTCGCAGACGATCCTGAGGGACACCAGGCGGGCTTCAGTGGCTGGGTGGCGCCCCGGCCGCCCCGCCCGCCCCGGCCGCACTCACTGCTCGGCGCTGATGTACTCGCTCTCCACGGGGCTGCACAGCACCTTGCCCACGCGCACGCCCAGACGCACGTCCTCGAAGCGCAGGCCCAAGTTCTCCCC